ACATTTTAGATATGGCAAGACATTTGTTCATGTAATTTACTGTTTAACATTCATTACATTTTTACATTTACTGTAAGTGCTTCAGAACCTAAAATGAACATTTGGTAACACATTCACGCTTCCAGCCAAATCTGAAACTTTTTTATCCTCACTGATGAGCGTCTCTGTTTTTCTAAAACATGGTCGTGTAGTTTTTGCTTGTACCTGCAGAGGGCAGTGCAGGCCTACAATTGTAAAAAAGTAACAAACTGTTACGTTGTCTCCCTCTGCGTGTCAATAGTGGTAAATCGTGACACTTCAACACGGATTCTCAAAATTTAACGCAATAAACCGAATTGTCTTTGCTCCAGGTAGCAAAAAGGTGTCACCAGCACATTATTTTCTACATTATTATTTTATCAGAATATATAAATTTTTTTAAGGAAGAATAGAACAGCCCTTAATTGTCATTGTTCATGTACAATGAAATTATGGGTACTCCATGAAAACTGTGCAGAAGTAAAATTTAAAAAATCAAAATAGTAAAGATAGAAGAAAATATACACAGTCAGGTAAGAGTGAAAGGTATATACAAGGTTTAACACAACATGTCCCAGTTCCAGGTGATGATGTCAGGAAAGACCTTGCAAACCTGTTACTACATCTATTACAACACTATTTATGCTTCAAGTTTTAAGAAGTCTCAGGCTTGAGCAGTGAGAATCTTATTCTAGACAAAAATGGGACCAGACACTGGTCTCTCCTCAGTTCCCAGATGTTTGTTGTTAAAAGTAGAAGGGATGTAATGGTAAACATCGCTGTTCAACTGTTTTCAGACTTGTTGGTGCCATCAAATTCAAAATTATCCTATTATTAGTATTATTTTTAACGTTAAACCTCAGTTTAAGCATTTCATGTGCTTTCTGTGTTTTATGGTAAATTAAAAATGGGGTTATGAAATTTGCAAGTCATTGCATTCTGTTTTATTTTCATTTTATTTTAATTTTTTCATTTTACACAGCATCCCGTTGTTTTTGGAGTTGGAGTTGTAGATTGGCAAAAGTTTTGAATGTATTTATAATTTTTCAAATTAGTGACGGGCCACTCGAATACCCTGGTCTGGAGTACAAACTGTTACAGTTACATTTACATCAAGTGCGCAGTTTTACATATATGTGAAATTTTATATAGATTTTCATATATGAATATATATTTTAGTCTCATCCAGCTGCACACTTTGTAAATACTTCCTCCAAAGGAAATGTCTAATGGGATCACAGAGCGTGATGATAAATATGTGACCTTTTGAATAGCAGATGTTGTCCAAGGCCCAGACTCACAAAGCTCTACTACTAATACACTTACAATCACAAAACAATTCCCTTTACAGTAGATGAATGTGGCAGAGAGGGTATGCTTAGCCAAAGAAACTTACAGTGCAAATATGAAGACATTTATTCATATTAATTGTAAAAATCAATATGTTCTTTACGAGCATAAGGCATAGAGTCCAGTGAAGATCATAGACACAGGCTGCTGACTAAGGAGTAATGATACATAATAAGCTTGAGGGGACACAGACTACAACCTAATTACCAGGTCCTAAAGACCTTTGCTGAAACGAAAAACCTCAGTATATTTCCCTGTCTATAATGCCTGACTGCCTCCCCCCAAATCAGCCAACTAGAAACGTTCCCAGACATTCGGAGCAGGATAATTCTGTCCAAACTCCACCCAGTAGGAGTTTAAATTTAAGCAATCGAGAGCCTGGACAAGTATGCAAAGAAAAAAAAAAACAAGTAAATACAACTAGAAACATAAGTGTAATATTAAGATCAAGGATTCAATACTTTTTTGCCATGTCATCGTTAGGAAATTTGCCTCAGTGGGCCCATGTCTGACAATAATCACAGCAAAACACCTAATTATATCTGATATATGAGGGGATTTGTTAAGAAAACTACAATTAGTTCTCTGTGTGCACAGTACACAAACCTCTGTGTCAGATGACATCCTGATGTGAACCATGTGTTGACAACATCGAAGTTATTGTGCTTCTGCTGATTTTAGGCGGCATCATACATCACACAAAGACACAATTACATACCATTGCAAGTGGCTTTTACTGTAAATAGCAGTATCACGTTCCTGAGTTTCACTATCACTATCAATCTACTGTTACCTTTCTGTTAAAGTTTGGAGAGGGTTAATGTCTCCTTAGGTGCTGATGGTACAGACTTATCTTAACTGTGAGTTGAGTCAAAATGTACAGGAAATGGCCTAGACTGTCATTCTAAACACAGTACAGCCAAGTTTTTTTGAAAAAATGTTTTTTCACTGAAAGCAGCACTGCTCAGCTCGCCATGTCGTAAATTTCAAAGTTGAGAAACAAAGTTTTAAATCATCGAAGCATCTTCAAACCTACAAAGATATTTCATCCATTCTGTTTCTGATTTATATTTTTGCAATACTGTGCCTCTGCATATAGGATTTCCTTGGTAAGGGCGTAAATTACGAATTGTGTCTTTTTGCAGTGGGTATGTTTAAAGGCTGAGCCAAGATGCCGAAGCTTTGCGCATATTTTCAACACATGCTGGAATTCCTGCCTCAAAAACTGCTTTGCAGTGCATTTTCTCGCCATATTTTCCTGCATCTCTTACAGAAATCAAAGAGGAACACAATGTTTTCTTATGAGTGTTGTGTTTATGAACCTGATATCGTAAGAAGCCAGTTAAAGCATGAGTTTTAAAAACTACTGCTACTATATACTACATACTTTGCTCATCTTCATTTAAAGATCAACTCAATAAAATTACTGTATCAGGAAAAGTCACACATAGGAATTCCAAGCAAAAACAATGGCAAAAAAATAAAAGCCATGCAAAAAAGTAACGACCTCAAGAACATGTTTTATGTTTTCCTGTTTTTCATTCGAGGAAACAGAGAATGGGAGGATGGTCCAACTCCCCCTTGTGCTTTGCGTAATATTGGCTTCCTTTGTTCCAAATGAAAGCCTTTAAAAACAGCACACATGCTCGTTCTGTGTCAGTTAAAGCGACATCATGGTGTCAAAGGTGCTCGTGGGTGCTGCTGTTTTTGTTGTTGCCCTCATTTCAGAGAGTACGTTTGTGCTGCTTTATCTGTGTTTTTGGTGCAACATTTCAGATGTTATTTTTCTACTATTAATAGTTTGCGTATCTGTAAAAGAAAAATATGCTTCTTCATCTTAGGTGCGGGCATAATCGGTGGCAGGGAGGCAGCGCCGCATTCTCGGCCCTACATGGCTTCAATCCAGGTGCCAGAAGGGGAGAATCTGAAACATGAATGCGGAGGCTTTGTGGTAGCAGATCAGTGGGTGATGACTGCAGTGCACTGTCTACCTAACGGGTAAGGCAACATTTTTTACAGTGTAACAAATGTATGGAAACAAGTGCAAGATCAGAATCATATTAGCATGATATTTTCCATTTAAAGCTGGTGCTGTTTGGATTGTGTTTGTTTGTATTTGCTTGGGCAATAATCTCTCATGTGCTTGTTCAAGTTTCATGTTTAAATTTGCTCAATGGCTCTACAAAAGCATTTAGAGTTTGCTTTTATGTAGAAGATCATTCTTTTTCTTGATGATTATTCAATAATATAACACTATTGTGCTCTTTTTAAAGACCAGATGGAAGGAAGGTGGTGCTCGGTGTCCATTCTCTGAGTGAACCTGAAGAGACAAAGCAAATCTTTGACATTTTGGAACTTCACAATCACCAAGATTTTGACCCAAGTAATTATGACAATGACATTGCTTTAATTAAGGTAAGTGCATATGCTATGCCCTTATACTATCTGAATACTCAGAAACAAGAGTCTATAATAGTAAACCAAAACAGTGATACAGTTGGAATCATTATCTGTGGGGGCTTTTGCAGCTGGATCGTCCATTTAACATTTCCGAAGCGGTTAAAGCGGTGGAATTTCTGCGTGCTGGAGGCACAAACCCCGACACCGGTAACGAGGTCGAAACAGCTGGCTGGGGATCGGTTGACAACCTGGGGGCCAGACCAGATAAACTCAAAGAGGTGACTGTCGAGGTGATTAGCCCAAATCGGTGCAGACGCGTCGACTACTTTGGTAGAAAGTTCACCACTAACATGATATGTGCACATAAAGTATGCGCAAACCCCTGTGACCAACCACATAAGAATGAGGACAGTTGTGATGTAAGTTTTACTTCCCTTTATTCTACTAAACATAAATGATGAAACGTGAAAACAGTTGTTAGACAGCTGGCTTAGATTGCATTACTGATCCTAAACTTGTGCTTTTTTTCCCTGCTTCTTTGTTGTGGTCATTCAGGGGGACTCTGGGGGTCCTCTGCTCTATAATGGCGTTGTGGTGGGCATCACCTCAAATGGCGGAAAAAAGTGCGGCCAAACAAAAAAGCCTGGAATTTATACTATCATCTCTCACTACACTCAATGGATTGACAACATCATGAATCCACAGCCAGCCGCAGCAGAAGAGCAGAGCGCATAAATGAAAGCAGATGTTACATTCACGTTTTTAGCTACAGCTGACTATGCATCTGTCACAGTGTTTTTTATATATACATATATGATTAATGCATGTCTGTAGGAGCAGTTCATCAATGTGTGGCAAATGACAAAAACATATGTAAACGTCTTTATTTTTTTCTACTGCTCCTGATTGCTCCCTCTTTGGGCGTCGCCATAGGGAATTGTCTGCCTCCATTTTACCCTCTCTAGCATCATAATAACAATCACATAATGTAGCACTTTGCTGTATTATGGAATTAATAAAAACGTAGTACATGTCTCGTGTTATACCTGTACCTTGCAGAGATAGATAGATAGATAGATAGATAGATAGATAGATAGATAGATAGATAGATAGATAGATAGATAGATAGATAGATAGATAGATAGATAGATAGA